GGCAGCTGCTGCCACTGCAGTCTTCAAGCTCCCCTCCCTTATCAGGCTTCTGCTGCCTGACCTTGCTTATGAGGCCAGAGCCAAGAGAGCGCGAGGCCAAGTGGCTTGAAGAGAGCCAGGGACCCTGGGTGCTGATGTGGTACAGAGAGATCCACATGGCACTGGACAGTAGGGATGTGTGAAGTGGGCCATATTTGATTTGGAGTTGGCCCAAATCAGTGGACAGTGATTTGATTTGTTGATTCAGATCACTGTCCTGATTTTTGATTTAGCCAAATCTGGATCTGAAGATTTTGATGCTGATTCAGAGAATCAGCAATTTGGCCATAGACACAGCTTTAAATGCTTTTTACCTTGAGGTACCAAGTGCAGCTCATGAATGCTGTGATACTGGGGTGGATGGAGCGTCCCACAGGAGCGTGGGGGGTCCCCCCATGTGCTCAGCAGCGGACCTGGAAGTGGACTGGAAGTACTTCGCCCTCGCACCTGCATTCTCTTGGCTCGGCATTTGGCTGCAGATCTCTCCTCACCAGACCCAGGAGATGCCAGTTGCTGAGCTGGGGGTGGGGGGGTCCTGGAAGTAGATGGGGAAGTGCTTCTAGTCTACTTCTGGATCTGCTGCTAAGCACACTGGGGACCGCCCCCCCCCCCCATGCTCCTGTGGAATGTTCCGTCGGCCCCACCATCTCAGCATTGTCGAGCCGCCTGGTACCTTGAGGTATATAGAAAAAAACATTTAAAGCTGTCTATGTCCAAATCATCAGATCTCTCCAGATCAATCTGGAGGGTTCTAATTCGATTCAGAGAGATTAAATGGTCTCCTGATTTGATTCCGATTTGGAGATTTCGTCACTGAATCGGGCTGAATCTGCTGAATAAAATCAGCGACCGAAGCTTCACACAGCCCTACTGGGCAGTACAATGGGAGGCATGCAGTCTGGTGTTGGGAGTAGAGGAAGGCTTGCAGTGTAGGATATGCCTCGTGCACCATGCAGCCTGAGCAGTGTGGTAAAAGATAAAAGGATACTGGTCAAACAGTTGCCCTTATCCACATAATTTGTAGTAAACCAAGACTGTTCGACTTCAGCGGTACTGCAGGGAATGACTGGATGGGCTGCAGTACTGTAGAGAAAGAATTAGTGGACCATGAGCTGAATAAACTAAGTGTGTGCTCGTGTTGCTACAGCATATACTGGGCTGTGTTGCCAAGAGTGTCGCTTCCAGATCACAGGAAGTGATGCTTCCGATCTTTTCAACACGGGTGAAGGCCGTGTGGAGCACTGCCCCTTTTTGGGCCCCACGCTTCAAGACTGATGTGGACAGTTTAGGTGAAGTTCACTGAAGAGCAACAAAAATGATTGAGGTCTAGAAGGCAAAACGCAAGAGGAAAGGCTGAAAGAACTGGGGTGTTTATTGGGGAGAAGAGAAGATTGAGGGCAGGTTATGCCTGAAGAGTGATTATAGAAGGGGTAGAAAGATGCACTGTTCTCTGTTGCAGTAGGGGCTGCACTAAGGGCAATGGCATCCAGCTTCAGCAGAGGAGACTTGGACTGGAAATTAGGAGGAACTTCTTGAGTATGGAGGGTGGCCAAGCACTGGAGCACAAGCTGCCTAGAGAAGTTGTGGAAGCTTTGTCCTTAGACACTGCCAAGAGCAAGTTAGATAAGCATTTAGCTGGGGTGGCATAGCTGACTTTTGATCCTGGCTTGAGCAGGAGGCTGCACTAGATGACCTTGTAGCATAGGACCTTTTCTATCAAAGTGAAATTAAAAAAGCCCCCAAATATGTTGTGGCAATTAATATTAATCAGACTTATTAGAATAGGATGAGGCTCTGGAAATACTGTTAAATACATTTAGAAAATGTACATAACTGATGCAAGAGAGAATACTTTATACCATTGTTTCCCATGTTTTCCCTAGCCCCGCACGCACCCCCCCAGATCAAAATTGACAGCACGCTTTACTCACTGGTCTGTGGGCTGGATCCCGCTGTGCAGTGCTGACGTGTCTGTGTCTTGGATTGGCACCTTCATGTGTGGCGGCACACCCTAGGGAATTGCTGTTTTATGCAGTGTTTATGAATGTAGAAGAATTGATCCTATTGCTTAGGTGCAGAAATAGTGAAGGTGGTGATTGCAGTAGAACTTTTAATCCCTCTTCCCCTCTATATGCCTTTAATCTTGATATACCCAGAAGTCCTGGAGGGCCTGGTTCTTAGGCTGGGGTGGTCAACCCACAGTGCAGGCAGGTGGCAGACAGGGCAGGAGGCAGGGCAGGCCTGCCAAAAATGTTGGTCACAATGGTCTTAAGCAAACTGCATAGTGTAATTTTTAATGAACACTTATGGCAAGGAGCAAAGACAACTGTATTGTTTACATGTTTCAAGTCTGCTTTTTTAAATTTAATACAAAACATTTGTGGCTGTTTTGGGATTTTTGGTTTTGAACTAGTTAAGTTTGCTTTTGCCCAAGAAAAAGAATGTCTTGTTATGTACACCAGTGCATAACTTCAGCTTTTACTTGGCAGAAGAAAACAAATCTCATCTTTTATTTGTTTATCATCAACTTAGACACCTTTTTAGCATGAAGAACAACCTGTTTGATTACAGATGAGCTAAAATTTCAAAATCGATGTCCAAAGAAGAAAGCTCTAGGCAGGAGATTCTCCCCACCCCCCCTGTAATTTTAAATATATAGATACATATTTTGATATGTTGGCTGATTTCTAAATTTCTACTTGTGCAAAAAAAAATCCCAAAGCTGCAAGACTGCTGATTCTGTCACTAATGTAAAATTGGAATTGTAGATTGGATATCAGTGGTATTCAATACCTTTGAACAATTACCAGTATAGTCTTGTGTTCCTCTTGCCTTTTAATCCTCCATTTTGACATTTATTGATTTCCATCAGTGCTAACTTTGTTTTTATTGCCAGCAGTAAATAAATGTATTAAAAATGGATAGGGAATATTTAATTAATATACTGAGTGTTACAATCCCTTTCATAAAAGTTATGCCAGTGGGACCATTGTTGAAAAATCGGTGTCTTTTAAAAGGTTAAAAATTTGAACTTTGGGAGTGAGTTCAAACTCTAATACTACTAATAGATTGTTGCATCAAAAAAGTCACATGTTTCCTTAGCTTTTCCTTCTTACAACATTTTCAATTGATTAGGGAAACCTTTCACAGTGTATAATTCAGCCTTATTGCCTGGGGGATATATAAAGTGAATGACATAATGAAGTTCACCTTTAATAGAAGTACGGACATTATAGCTAGTTTCACAATACTCTTAAGTAATTACCATCAATGTCAGATTCTGGCGATCAAAAGCTATAAAGTAAAAAATTCCAGAACTTCTCAATCAGACCACTGAGCTTAACGTTACAATTGCTGAACTTCCTGTTTTACACACGCATATCTGAAAATTTAATTTCAAAGTGACGGTCTTTCTGACTTAGTGGCCTGAATGCTATAGGCACTAAAGTAGAGAAATGGCTAATAATCAAAGGGGTGTAGGAAGGCATGCTTGCTTGCTTTTCTCATGCTTCCTACTACCTGCATGTCACCCTGGGCCAGTCCTCTGTCCCCTTTCAGTGTTCCTTCCAAGCCCATGCCTCTGTCCTACCGCACCTATTCCTACTCTCCTGCCTTTAACCCAAGGGAATCTCCTACCCCATCCCTTAAGGCGTCTCTGAAGTCCATACCTTCTCTTCCAGGAGGCTGTCACCAAATTCCACTGACCCTCACTTTTCTCATCCTTGTCCCTGTCCCCACCAAAGGGCAGTTCAAATGGTGCCTTTGAGTGTAGCCCTTCAGCAAAGCCTGCGTTGGGGTGACTTGGAGTCACCTGAAGCCCACAGGTCGGCTGTGTCCTACCCCTGTCCAGCTCCGTTGGCCATGCGCGGCCTGCTGGGGGTCTTGGCACTTTTACTCCCCCCCCCTCCCCCCCCGGCAAGCTACTTAGATAATGCACTTTTTAGAAATACGAACAAACGCTTGCCCTAGTTTGATTTTAGTTTTAGTCATAGGATCCTGAGAGATTTACATGAATATATTCATTTCTGTGTATTGGCACATGAATTGCGGAAGCTATTTATGCAGCTGGTGTGCATCTATGCCCCTGCTAAGTGAGCTTGTTTGGACAAACATTCAGTATCCTTGGCAGAACCGTGTGGAACACATCGTGGCTGCCTGACTGCAGCATGGGGGTGGAATTTCGTATATGCTTCCAATATTGAAAAACCATGGCCTTGATCTAACTATGCAAAGATTTTTACAAACCTCCATAACTTCACAGCTTCTTCCAAATATATATAGCATTAATTGGGTGCATTGCTTCATTAGTATATTGCAAAAATCTATATATCGGGGGGGTGGAAAATCAAAAAAATTCGTTTTTTGAAATTATCCTCAGGGCATTAAGCAGTATGAAGAGCAAGTAAGGACTTCCAGTTCTTGAAGATTACAGCCCTAGAAAACATTCAGGTCAACTTTTGGACTTGATTTGTTACTTCATTGGTTTACTTTTAAACACTTGAAGGAGCGTGCATTTTCCTCTTGAGATTAACAGCAATGCATGTGGCATTTTATTTAAATCTGTACAGTGGGGGAATCAACATTAGTGTTAAGTGTGTATATTTCCTTAGTTCCCTCTGGTTTACAACACAAATGTAGGGAAACAATAAAAAGCTAAGGGCCCTAATTTTGTCATCCCTTCCCCCTCTTTTAAAGGGATGATCTCATATTCAAACAATAATTGTAAGCAGGTTTTATAAAATGTGAAGTGGGAATGGTGTTATGAATCCTTGAATTTTCATGAGTTTCTCTTGAATAAAGAATCTTATACTCCCAGAGAATGTATTAAAGTCCGAGGTATTTTTGTACGTAAGTAAAATGTAATATGTTAATAATGGAAAAACTGTTTTAAGGTGCTGAGGTATTTTAAGCACTTAGTATTATGTTCCAAAGTAATAATTTTTAATATATTTTCTCTACAGAAATTGAGAAATTCCAAAAAGGGGAAGGAAAGGAAGAAGAAAAATATATTGATGTAGTGATTAATAAAAATATGAAGCTGGGACAGAAAGTGTTAATTCCCGTAAAACAGTTCCCCAAGGTAAGCTCGATTTACAAATTAAGGTTAGCAATATGTATCTAGTTAACTTATGTATAATACTTTTTTATTATTACATGCCTTTGCTCATGCTAGTTTATAGTCTGTTCTGCATAAATTCTTATACAGCAAATAAATATGCCAAAGGTGGTAGGAAATGTAACTTGAACTTTATAAAAGTATGTCTTTGCCTACCTGTACTAAAGAGAGAAAATCCCTGTAGCCCCCTATCTTCAGGCAGCAGAAAAATGGTTTTGGTATCTTTAAACCATATTTAGACTGTGTAAGCTGTAAGATTGTCGTCTTAATTCTTTGTGCATTGTTACTCTGATCTCAAAGCAATTTATAAAGGCAGGTAAGGAAAAGTATTCCTGTTTTCAGTTGGGAAAATTGAGTGCATAAATACTTGCTCAGCATCAGACAATGGTTACATGAAAAAACTTGAAAGAGAATTTGACCTTCCTCTTCCCTCATCTAGACAGATATTGCTGTGTAGATGACTAATAAAGGGATACATTTATTTAAATAATCAATTTATAGATGGCATCCCAATGAACATTTGTCTCGAAGTCTAAATATAAATTTTTAAACTACTGAAACTCCATAGATGGGAGCATCTACATGGGATGTCTACTGCACGGTAGACTAATTGACTGTGCAGTAGATGTCTTGGCATCCACATATGCGCTTCTGTAAGGCTGAAGTAAACTAATATAATCTGTTTTTAAAAAAAACAAACAAACAAACAAAAAACAACCTCTGCAGCAGCCTGCATGTTGAACAGTGGAGGGGCTGGCTGGGGTATGAGGGTGCTTCGGTGTAGGGGTTGTTTGTGGGCTAGCCCTGCATTGAAGCACCCTCATGCCCCAGCCAGCCCCTCTGCAGCATGTTGGGGAAGCAGCCCTGAGCTGGCAGGCAGATCCTCGGAGCCGCCTGCCAGCCAGAGCTGTTCTGACCTGGCTCGACATGCTGCAATCTCAGATTCCTGTAGAAATGTGAGCCTCAGAGCAATAAATTCTGGTGCAGAAAGCTCCAGAGTTTTGATTGCAGTGTATTTAATAGGCACATATAGATGCGCCCAATATATCTCAGGTTACCTAAAGTTATTTCAGATATCTAATTCCCATTGATTTCAAATATCTCTAAAAATATGGGGCTTCAGGTCTGCTGATAAAAGCAAGTGACCCTTTCCTTCCTGAAATCTTCTTCTTACCTATTTTATGAAGCATAATATGCTTCATTATCAGTCTTGAAGTGTTCTTTTTCTGTTCATGCATAGATATTATTTATGATATGGAAGGTTTTTGCTGATTTTACATTTCATATGGATTCTGCTCATTGATTATCATCACTATTATGAATGCAGGAAAAAACCGTACAAAATTAGCATTTTATCAGTTGCAACTTTGAGTAGCTTTGTTCAAAGGAGCCACTTCTTGGGTGGGGAGGGGGGAGTTGGCTAATGGTTTAAACAGTTTGGAACAAGGATGGGGATAATTCTGATAACAAACGAGACCTGAAGTTTGTCAGCTCTTTATGAAAGGTTATAGTGCCGGCAGTCCAATACTGCAAAGCTTTCATGTTTTCATGCAGGCATTTTAGCAGATTGAGCAAGTGGAAACTGGCAGCCGCTGGCCCTCTGGAGTAGCAAAGTGTGGTATACTTCAGCATATTGATTCTGATGATTCACTTTGAACCTGTGTTACAGGCAAAAACACCATTTTTAAGGGTGTATTGCTCAAATTATCTTATTACTTAAGCTATTTCTGCTCCTTACTCAATCCTTTTTAAAGCAGCAGTCAGCATAATATTGGAAGGTGTTTAGATCCCGGTTTCATTTATTAGTCCTTCCACTAGCACTTTAAACATGTACATTAGACGTCTTATAAATTATGCAGTGTTTTATGGGAGATTGGTGTCTGCTTATAGAACACTTGTGGCTTCTAATTTCTTAATGGCAAAACAGAAGAAATACCAGTTTAAATATTTGCATAGAATTCATCCAACAACATAGCAACTTGGCAATGAGCCATATTCTGTATTGTTTGACAAAAACTATTAAGTTGTAGGGTTACTTGGGGTAAATTGTATAAAAATACAAGTTCCTGCCTCTCTTCCCTCCATTCATAGTGGAAAATGCTTGTTTTGACTCAGACCATTTCTAGAGTCAAGAAGGTAATATTCCTAAGTAAGGCTTTGGTTTCTTTGACCACTGGAAGTTGTTCTAAGAAGGATTGCTTGGAAGTGACCTGATCTAACTAACAAAGAGAGGGAAGAGCATCTTTGCAAACAGGCTCACTAACCTAGTGAGGAGGGCTTTAAATTAGGTTTGCTGGGTGCTGGAGACCAAAGGTAGGTGGGGAAGTGGGTGACCTGGAAGAAGCACAAGCAGGAAGGGGCAGCAACGCAGGCATTCTCATTCTTCCTGACAGAGTAGGACAATTGGTTGGTTACCTTGGATGTCTATACAAAAATGCCATGGGCCTGGAAGACCAGCAGGAAGAACTGGAAGCTCTTGCACAGTCAGAGCTATGACATAACTGAAATAACAGAGACTCGGTGGGAGCTTGCATGGCTGGAGCACTGCCATGGATGGGTACAAACTGTTCAGGAAGGGGAGAAGAGGAATTGTGCTTCGTTGTTCTTTGAGCAATCTATACAGATCTTTACATAGATACAAAACTGGAGATACAGGCCAGTTGAAAGTCTCTGGTATAAGGTCAGAGGAGAGAGCACCAAGGGTGATGACATGGTGCGTCTCTGCTGTAGACCACCAGACCATGAGGATGAGGTGGATGAGGCTTTCTTCAAACAGTAGAAGTTTCCTGTTCACAGGCCCTGCTTCTCCTGGGCTACTTTTCTCCTTACATCTGTTGGGAGGGCAATACGGCAATGCACAGGCAAGCCGGGAAGTTTTTTGGAGAGTGTTGGGAACAACTTTGTGGTGCAAGTGTTGGAGCGGCCAACTAGGGGCCGTGCTCTTCTTAACCTGCTGCTCACAGATGAGGAGGAATTGCTGGGGCGGATGTACTAGTAGATGGCGACTTGGGCAGCCACGAGATGATCAAGTTCAGGACCCTGAGGAAAGGAAGGATGTAGAGCAATAGAGTAAGGACCCTGGACTCCAGAAAAACAGACTTTGACTCACTTGGGGAACTGGTGGGCAGGATCCCCTGGGAGACCAGTCTGAGGTGGGGAAGGAGTCCAGGAGAGCTAGCTGTTTTAAGGAAATCTTAAGAAGAGTGCAGGAATGAACCATCCCAATGTGTGGGAGGACTAGCGAGTATGGCAGAAATCCAGCTTGGCTTAGCAGGGAAACCCATCAGGTAAAATGCACAGAAAGGAAGCTTACAAGAAGTCATTTGTCCAAGTTGCTACTAGGGAGGCGCACAAGAGGATTGCTCGGGCATGCAGGGATGAGATCAGGTAGGCCAGAGCACAGTTGGAGTTGGAACTAGCTAGGGATGTGAAGACTAATAAGAATTGTTGCTGACATACTTGTAGAAACCTAGGGAAAATCAGGGGAAGCGTGGGTTCGTTTCTCAATGGGAGAAGCAACGTAGTGATGGACTGAGGAAAATGCTGAAGTGCTCAGTGCCTTTTTCACCTCCAGTCTTCACAGGCAAGGTCAGCTCCCAGACTACTGCACCTGGCAGCACAGTTTGGGGAGGAGGTGAACAGCCAACAGTGGTGAAAGGACATATTAGGGACTACTTAGAAAAGCTGGATGTGTACAAGTTTGTGCGGCCAGACGTGATGTACCTGGGGATGCTGAGGGAGTTTGATATGATTGCAGAGCTGCTGGCCGCTATCTTTGAAGACTTGTGGCAGTTAAGAGAGGTCCTGGATGATTTTAAAAGGGCAAATATATAGTGCTCATTTAAGAAAGGAAAGAAAGAGGATATGGAGAACTACAGATGGGTCAGCCTGACCTCAGTCCCTGGAAAAGTCATGGAGCCAGGTCTTCAAGGAATGCATCTCTAAGCATGTGGAGGAGAAGGCGACAGCGATTTAGGAATAGTCATCATGAATTCACCAAGGACTAGTCCGTGCCTGAATGAACCTGATTGCCTTCTGTGATGAGATGACTGTCTGTGTGGATGCAGGAAGAGCAGTGGATATGATATACCTTGACTTCAGCAAAGCTTACAAAATCCTTGGAAGCAAACTAAGGAAGCACAGGTTGAATGGATAGACTGTAAGGTGGATAGAACACTTGCTGGATTAGTAATCAATGGCTCGATGTCTAATTGGTAGCTAGTATCAAGTGAAGCTCTTCTGGGCTTGGTCCTGGGGCCAGTTTTGTTCAATATCTTCGTCAGTGACTTCTGAAATGGGATGGAGTGCACCCTCAGCAAGTTTGTGGATGACACCAAGCTGGGGGGAGTAGATGCATTGGAGGGTAGGGCTAGGAGTTTGTGACCTAGCCAGGTGGGAGAATGGGGTGAAAAGAAATTTTATGAGGTTCAACAAGTGCAAAGTCCTGCACTTAGGATGGAGCAGTCCTGTGCACTGGTACAGGCTGGAGGATGACTGGCTGCAGAAAAGGACCTAGGAGTCACAGTGGACACTAAACTTGAATGATCCAGCTGTGTGCCCTTGTTGTGAAGAGGGCTACCAGCTTACTGGGCTGCATTAGTAGGAGCATTGCCAGCAAATTGAAGGAAGTGATTATTCCCTCTATTTGGCACTAGTGAGGCCACATCTGGAGTACTGTGTCCAGTACAGTACTTGACCCCACTACAGAAAGGATGTGGACCCATTGGAGAGTCAAACTGAGGGCAACAAAAATGGTTCGAGGGCTGGGGCACATGACTTCTGAGCAGGAGCTGAGGGAAATGGGCTTATTTAGTCTAGAGAAGAGAAGCCCCCAAGAGGAGGTGGGGGGGAGGGCAATTCAGTAGCAGCCTTCAACTAGCTGAAGGGGGGTTGCAAAGAGGATGGAGCTAAACTGTTCTCAGTGGTGGCAGATTACAGAACAAGGAGCAATGGGCTCAAATTGC